TCATCCTCTGCCTGATGCCCGCAAAGAGCTCTCTCGTGAGGTTGCCCTTATATAAGGGGGCACCAAGGTAGGTAATGGGAAGGTCACCGTACGCAAAGCCAGTGATCTCGTGGACTCGCTGAGCCCACCTGTCCGCGCTGGAGGTGGAAAGGGTAAAGGTGCTCTTCTGCACACTGATCAGCTGGCCAGTAACCAAGCTATAATGCTCCAGAAGGTGCATAAGCTCGATCAGCCCATCACCATCCGCACGAGTGAAGATGATGATGTCATCCGCATAAGATAGGTGCGAGACGGGGGGTCCATAGCCACGGGTGCTATATGTCATCTGCGGGTAGTCGCGGATAAATCCGTCTAGGCAGCGAGAGAGGTAGTCCGCCGCAAGAACGAAGAGGGAAGGGGAAAGAGGGTCGCCCTGTCTAAGGCCTCTAGAGGATGGAAAGAAATCAGTGGGGCTGCCATTAATCAGGACCGAGAACGTGCAATGCTCCACACACGCCTCCACAAAACTGGTCCAACGCTCAGGGAATCCCATCCTAGCCAACGCCTCCCTAAGAAACGGCCACTCAACCCTATCATACGCCTTAGCCATGTCTAGCTTCAGCGCGATATTCGGATCCCGCTTCCAGTCTGCTCGGGAGATGTCGTGGATCATCTCTTGGGCCAAAAGGATATTATCACTAATGACCCGATCCTTGACGAATCCACTCTGGTTCGGAGAGATGAGAGAAGGGAGGAGAGGGGAAAGACGGCCATTAAGAATCTTCGATACGAGCTTGTTGGTCACGTTACACAGACTGATGGGCCTGTAATCGGACCAAGAGCTCGGGTTGGGTCGTTTGGGTATCAAGACGACAGAGGTAGCCGTGAAGGAGTCCGGCATACGATGGCCGGAGAAAAAGTCCAACATCACCTCCTGGACGTCAGTCTCGACAATCTCCCAGCAGACCTGATAAAAGAGGGAGGAGAAACCATCCGGGCCAGAAACGCTGTTGGGATCAATCCCGAATACAGCATCCCTAACCTCCTCCCTGCTCGGGAGCTCACAGAGGCCAATGAGATCGACCGAAGGAGGGATGGTGGGGAAAAAAGAAGCGTTCGGGGCCACGAGGGAACCTCTATCAGATGTGAAGAGGGTCCGGAAATGAGCAACAGCCGACTCCCGAATCTGAGCCTCCTGGGTCAAGGATGACCCATTAGCCTCGATGCTATGGATGTACGACTTAGCACGCTTCTGCCTAACGTAGCCCTGGAAGAACCTAGTGTTCCGCTCGCCCTCGGCCACCCAGCGAACGGCCGCCTTCTGCTTCCAGAAGTTCTCCTCCATTAGGAGTCGGAGCTGGTACTCGGCGTGGCAGCGGTGCATGGCGGTCCTATTCTCCGGAGTGGGATCCAGGTCATAGGCCCGCTCAGCCGACGCGTGCGCACTCTGAGCCGCAGCAAGGCGGTGATGAAGGTTTCCAAAAACATCCCAGTTCCACTGTCTCAACCGACGCCGCAGTCTGTCGAGCTTTGCCTCGAGATTGCGCATCCCGAAGAGCCCAGTCGGCTGAAGCCAGGAATCCCTGACAGTGTCGTGGAAAGAGTGGTGGCGAACCCACATGTTTTGGAACCTAAAGGAAGCACGGCGAGGAGTGCTCGAAAAACGACATCTAATGAGAAGGGGTGAATGGTCCGACCCAAATCGAGAGAGGTGCGTGACGGTCGTGACCGCAAACACCTTCGACCACGCTTCAGAAATCAAAGCACGATCGAGCCTCTCCTTGAGGTTGTCCCTAACCCACGTGAAGGGTTCACCCTCGTATCCAGCGTCTAGCAACTCACAGTCCGCCACTGTCTGGACAAAATCCCACATCTCCCGTGACCTGTCCGTGCGGCCACCCACACGCTCATCTGGTTGCAGAAAGATGTTCAAATCGCCACTAACCATCCATGGCAATCCCTCCATACTCTCAGCAATCTCACGCAGGGTGTCCCACAGCTCGTATCTCCCAACTCTATTACACTTGGCGTAAACCAAAGTGTGAAATATGGGCTCAGGGAGATGGGCAGTCGAAAGCTCGACATGAAGCACCTGATCGGTGTCTCGGAGGACCCGACAAGTGTAGTCTCGTGAGTGGAAGAAAAAGATCTTATAAGAAGTGTTCCCCACAGCCGAATGAAAACCAAGACGGCGAGAGAGGTAGTCAAAGTCAGGGGAGCGGATCATCGGCTCAATGAAACCGACGAAGTCCAATCTATGATCATGAATGAGGGAGCGAAGATGAGCGAGAGTGGCCCTATAAGCCAGTCCCCGTCCATTCCAGGTAATGGACGTAATAGACATATCAACGATCAGAGGGGCCACCGGACTGAGTCCGCCTGTGGCGAGGCTGAGTCAGACCACCTGGGGGAGGGGGTAGGTGGCGAGATGATCGACGAAGAATCGGAGAGACAGTCCGCCTCGTCATGCGTGGTGTGGGAATGGTATTGGAGGTAGGTCGCCCTCGGAAAGCGCTCGTGGCCTGCGAGTCATCAGGCTGAGCAATGTGACCGAGACTGACACTAGGTGTCTGCCCCATGTCCGGACGTGCCTCCCGTCTATCATAATGAACGAAAGCACTGGAGGCAAAACTCTCGCACGAGACGTCGTGCTGGGCGCGGTTAAGACCGCAAACCTGCTCAGAAAGGGGGGGGGAGGAGGAGCTCCATCCAACCGAGCACTCGAATGTTCGCCGTCAGAGTGTGGCTGGGGATCTATAGGCTGAGTCGACGTCTTAATCTCCGCAGACGGGAGGTGAGACGGCAATTCCCCTTTCGAGGAAGGAGTAGCAGAAACTGTCCTCATCTCCAGGGAGCAATCCTGGCTATGTGGGAGGACAGACAAAGGGACAGCATTGCGGATGCTGTCATGAGGGAGATGGGTGCCCGGGCCAGTGGGCAAAGTGGCCGGCTGCTCTAGCTCATCAGCTAGGAGGTCGTCGTCCTCTAAAAGGGCAGGATCCGAAAGACAGTGTGTGTCCCTAGATGAAGGTTCAGCCTCATCCTGTGACTCAAGGGAAAGGGGCGCAAAGAACGAGTGTTTGGCCTTGAAGGCCGACTGAAGTGTCTCTCTGGGAATAAAACCCGTCACTTTGGCCTTGGGCCCAACTATGATCACTCGGTCTGACTGGTTAGGGTGAGCGTCCTTCCCAGTTTGGGCAGTGGCGTCCATCTTCGCCTTACCCTTATCCGTAATCCCTTTTGGGGATCCGGGTGTCTGGAGAGGGCCTATGCCCTTTCCCTTCGGTTCCCTCCGGCTGGTGGAGGTTCCCGGCTGGGTCGTATGACGGCGCGGAGGCTGAGCGGGACGTGGCTTATTGCCACTGATATAGCAGTCGGCCGCTATATGACCAACATGACTGCACGCGGAACAGAAAGCAGGGATCTTCTCGTAGATCACCCGCTGAGCAAAGGTCTCTGAACCCTGCTCAATCTCAATCTCGTGGATAGGCTCCACTCTGAGATCAATCTCGACACAGAACCGCGCCATATTAGCCCTGGACTGAAGAGCAGTCGGGGCATCAATGCGGACCGGTTTTCCGACACACTTAGCAAGTGTGGTGATGGAATCCCGGTCATACAAATGTGGTGGTAGGCCGGGGAGGCGGCACCACACGGGGACGACCGGCGTCTCCATCTTCGGGTTGAACCCGGAAGTATATTTGAATACCCTAGCTGGGCATCCACATACAGAAATAGAAGTCCTAAGCCAAGCCTCATTATAATCTTCAGGGAGATTAAAAGAAACTAGAAGATGATTGAAGTTATACCACTTAAAAGACAACCTACCCTTAAAACCCAATTTTCCTAATCCAGCAGTTAGGTCTCGGGGGGGAGGGATAGCATAGGTAAACTTAAAGACCAGTGTGTTCGCTAACTTACCTGCGAGGGTGTCAGCTTCGGCCTGTGAGAATCGGACCTTCACTTTGTTCACCTCCAAGCGGATGATGGTCCCGCAAGCGTGGTCATACTCCCCGTCAAAGGGAAAATCCTTAGCCGTTGGCCGCGAGCCGCCCTCTCTCCTCCCCGTAATAGCCTCCCGGAAGGAGAGTGGACCCAGGAGGGTCCCGGCAGCAGCTGGGTTGACTGCGGTGGTTCCCGTTAATGGTGTCAGGGGTTGCCCGGGAATATTGGTCACGTCCTTCGTGTCTGGTTTTGTCGCAACCACGCCATCTTCCCGCACGTATAAGACGACCTGGTCAGAGGTCGGATCCCTCGATGAGTGGCCAGTTCGGGGTGCATTTGCCGGTAAAGAGGGACCGGGACCAAGTATCCCTGCCGCCGGTGAGGGCCCGCCGGCGTTGGTAGTGTTTCCGGCGGACTGGCCGGACGGCGGTGGAGGGCCGCCAGTGGGAGGCATAGGAGTTGCGGTGGATTGGTGATTAGTAGTGTCTCGGTGTTGATTAAGGATGGTGGAGGGGGCCATTTGTAGGGGATTGACGGGCTGTGTGGAAGCCTGGTTGGTGGGTTCGGATATGGCAGCCTGAGGATTGGTTGGTTGGTCAGGTAAACTGGGCAGGGAATTATCTTGCGCAGAAGATTCAATCAATGTTTTATTGTGATGGCCCAAAATGTTGAGGCCTAGTGTTGGCTGAGGAAGCCCATAAATTGGGATGTTCAAAGATGGGCTGGATCCTAAGGGAGTGGGCTGAGGATGCACGGGTTTGAGGCAGCCCATTTTGGGGACAAGGTGTGAAACGGGATTTTGATTGTGGGCCAGGTTAGGCCCAATTGGAGGGGAAACCATTTGAGGGTCAGTTTCGTTGTGCAGCTGAGGGGAAATGTCCTCTGCGTCGCCGCCGCCTTCGATAGGTGTGATTGGTTTGACCGGTGAGGTAACCTCCGACGACAAGGTTGCAACGGCGACTGGGTCTATTTTTCCTGGCGGTGAGGCGCCGGCGGCAGCTGAGTTCTCCACGAGGTCTTTGATTATGTTTTTTTCGGAATCGGCAAGAGGACCCAAAGCTGCGAATCGACTGAGATTAAGGTTGGATTTGCTCGCTGAGTTCGGCGGGTCGCCGGATGTTGCCGACGGAATTTTGCCATCTTCCAGGTTTGAGCTCGGCGGCATGAGTTTTTGGAGTGCTTTCATCACTTCCATTGAAATTAAAGAAGCGAGCTCGGGGTTAACTATCGATGATGTAGGTTGAGGACGAGGAGACCGGAGGGGAGATTGCTCCGATTGTGTGTTCTAGATACGAGGGAATAAAGGTGTAGGAAGAGCCGGTGGGTTTGTGTGTTGTTGAGTGTTGATACTCTGAGATGGGGGCAGTGGGGGAGCCATGGTGGATTTAGGAGGTGGCGAAGGGACAGCTGCTTGCCGGAGCGAGCCGCCGGCGGCGGCTGCCGGTGGCGCAGCTATGGGACAGTGGCGATGGCCGGAAAAATCAGTCCAAAGTAAAGGGGAAAAATTCTAGGTTAGTTGTCTTAAGTTGCTAGGTTAGTTCTTTCTTGCTGCTAGGTTAGTTGTCTGATGCTGCTAGGTTAGTTGTCTTTTGTTGCTAGATTATTTCTTTCTTGCTGCTAGGTTTTAACAAACAACGCCCCGTAAGGGCGGGGGATTGGGCTGGATCCCCAACCTGTGCATAGATCAGTGCCCCAAAAATGGGAGCCCAAAATGTCAACGAACAAGATAAAAAGGTCTACATAGTCTCACAATCAAAAAACAAAAACAAAAGAAAGGCAAAAAAGAAAAGCGAGAAAACGAAAAAGAAACAAAACTACAAAACAAAGTCAATCTTCGGGCTAACAGATGCCCGAGAAAGTCTATACTAATGACAACAGAGATCCTAAACTAGTGAAAACGGAACGCTGGATATCCAAGCTGATCCATCCGTAAAAGGGTGCAAAGACGGAGTGGAGCAGCATCGGTCTGAAATGTATGTGTGTCTGGTATGGTGGCGCCAAGGCTGGCCAGGTAATCAGCCGTTCTGTTCCCCTCACGGAAGATGTGCGTGATCCTATGATGGACTGACCGAAGTAGATCACTAATGCGCATAAGCGGGTGTTGAATCTGCCATGAGCCCTGATGGCCCGAAGTCAGGAGTGTGGCGACAGCCGCAGCATCCAGCTCGATCCATATATGACTAGAGAGGTGGACAGCAATCTGAAGGCCAATCTGTAGTGCCTGAATCTCTGCATCGTAGCTCGAGGAGGCCTGAATGGATGCGTGGAAGGCGGTGATGAGGGCGCCGCTATGGTCACGAATCAAGCCTCCTCCTCCGGCAAGTCCAGTGTGGCGATCAAAGGAGCCATCAGTGTTCAGCTTGACCCACGGAGAGTCGGGTCGAAGCCAAACAACATCTCTGGCCCGAGGAGGCCGAACAGGCGGTGGTGGGGCCACCATGTAGCGATGCGGTGGCGTGCAGCCTGTCCAGTCTCGGGCCGTGAGCCTGCCCAATGCGATGAGGAGTGAAATGTGTCTCTCTACCTGCAAAACAATGTGAGAAAACATAAAAGTAATATCCCTATGCTTCGCACTATTCCTTTCTGTCCAGGTGAACCAAAGGATCAGACAAGGAATGAGGAAGCCCACGTGTCTAAGGTGTGTGCTCTGTGAGAAAAAACTCAGGAGCTCAAAAAAACTGTATGTGGTGGGTAGGGATATATGAGTCCAAGTGGCAAAATGCTCCCACACTCTCCTCACAATCTCACTCTCTAGAAAAAGGTGGGTAAAGGTCTCAGTCTCATGGCGTCCAGTCTCAGAACAACACACACACCGAGAGGGGAAGGAGATCCCTCTCGCGTGTAGCACAGTATCGACGGGTATCCGGCGCAAGAGGAGGCGCCAAAGGAACACCGAAATAGTAGGCGTGAAAAGGTCACTCCAGATAGCCCCGAAGAGGAGATTAGGCCGATCCCTCAGCCTTATCTGCTCCCAAGCCGAGGTAGTAGAAAACACACTTGATGATGTAAGTCTCCACCTCATGCTATCTGAACCGTCCCCCGAGATAGGGATCTGCTGGATCTGATCTAATGACTGCTCGCTAAAACCCACACAAGCCTCCAACTCCCTATCAAGCTTCCCCCTATCCCACGACCCGTCCGTCCAGAGGTCGCTCACGAGCAGGTAGGGGGAATGCGACACCTGCCTATCCCTAGCCAAAGGCCTATCACCTACCCACCACTCATCCCAGACACTGACATCGCCCCCGCCCAAAACCCAAAAGATGTGATCCTGGGCCAGCCTCCCGACCTTAGTGAGGCGCCGCCACTGTCTGCTATCATGATCAACAGCCGTGACCCAACAAGGATGGTTGGCACGTCTAGGGCAGTACTTGCCGCGAAGGTACTGAGCCCAAAGCGACTTCCCTTCCCTGAAGCGCCACCACAGCTTGTATGAGAAAGCTGTAACAATGTCCCCGAGGCGGCGGATGCCAAGGCCACCCTCTGGGAGGGGGCGGCAGATAGAGTCCCAACTCACCCAATGAGAAAGCTGTAACAACTCAACTTTCTTGCTGCTAGGTTAGTTGTCTGATGCTGTTAGGTTAGTTGTCTTTTGTTGCTAGATTATTTCTTTCTTGTTGTTAGGTTTTTTTTTCTTTTTTTTTTAAACAACGCCCCGGAAGGGCGGCGGATTGGGCTAGATCCCCAACCTGTACATAGATCAAGGCCCCAAAGCTGGGAGCCCAAATGTCAATGAGCCAGATACAAAAGTTTATAGAGTCTCACTAATCAAGATCAAAAACAAAAGAAAAAGAAAAAAAAGAAAAAACCGAAAAACAAAAAGAAACAAAAACTACAATACCAAGTCGATCTTCGGGCTAACAGCTGCCCGACAGGTATGTCTATACTAAAGAAAACAGAAATCCTAAGCTACCGAAAGCGGAAAGCTGGATATCCAAGCTGGTCCATCCGTACAAGAGTGCGAAGGCGGAGTCGAGCAGTGTCATTCTGGAATGTATGTGTGCCTGGTATGGTGGCGCCAAGGCTGGCCAGGTAATCAGCCGGTCTGTTCCCCTCACGAAAAATGTGCGTGATCCTGTGATGGACTGACTGAAGTAGATCTCTAAGGCGCAGAAGCGGGTGCTGAATCTGCCACGAGCCCTGATGGCCCGATGTCAGTAGGGTAGCGTCAGCCGCAGCATCCAGCTCGATCCATATATGACTAGAGAGGTAGACAACAATCTGAAGGCCAATCTGTAGTGCCTGAATCTCTGCATCGTAGCTCGATGAGGCCTGAATTGACGCGTGGAAGGCGATGTTGAGGGCGCCGCTATGGTCCCGAATCAAGCCTCCTCCTCCGGCAAGTCCAGTGTGGCGATCAAAGGAGCCATCAGTGTTTAGCTTGACCCACGGAGAGTCAGGTCGAAGCCAAACAACAGCTCTGGCCAGTGGAGGCCGAACAGGCGGTGGTGGGGCCACCATGTAGCGATGCGGTGGCGTGCAGCCTGTCCAGTCTCGGGCCGTGAGCCTGCCCAATGCGGTGAGGAGTGAGATGTATCTCTCTACCTGCAAAACAATGTAAAAAAACATAAAAGTAATATCCCTATGCTTCGCACTATTCCTTTCTGTCCAGGTGAACCAAAGGATCAGACAAGGAATGAGGAAGCCCACGTGTCTAAGGTGTGTGCTATGTGAGAAAAAAATCAGGAGCTCAAAAAAACTGTATGTGGTGGGTAGGGATATATGAGTCCAAGTGGCAAAATGCTCCCACAATGTAAGAGGGGAAGGAGATCCCTCTCACATTTAGCCTGAATGGATGCGTGGAAGGCGGTGATGAGGGCGCCGCTATGGTCACGAATCAAGCCTCCTCCTCCGGCAAGTCCAGTGTGGCGATCAAAGGAGCCATCAGTGTTCAGCTTGACCCACGGAGAGTCGGGTCGAAGCCAAACAACATCTCTGGCCCGAGGAGGCCGAACAGGCGGTGGTGGGGCCACCATGTAGCGATGCGGTGGGGTGCAGCCTGTCCAGTCTCGGGCCGTGAGCCTGCCCAATGCGATGAGGAGTGAAATGTGTCTCTCTACCTGCAAAACAATGTGAGAAAACATAAAAGTAATATCCCTATGCTTCGCGCTATTCCTTTCTGTCCAGGTGAACCAAAGGATCAGACAAGGAATGAGGAAGCCCACGTGTCTAAGGTGTGTGCTATGTGAGAAAAAAATCAGGAGCTCAAAAAAACTGTATGTGGTGGGTAGGGATATATGAGTCCAAGTGGCAAAATGCTCCCACA